TACTACTATAAGTAATAGTAACGTAACTAGGTAACGTAAACGTAAACCTAAACCTTAAACTTAATTACTACTATAATAAGGTAGGTCGTCTCCTACCTACTCTACTACTACTACTCTCTCTCTCTCTCTCTCTCTCTCTCCTATAGGGGCATTCCTCACTCTCTCCTCCATATTTCTCTCTCTAATTTTCTCTCTCCAAAACCTTAGGTAGTACTCTCTCTCTCATCTCTAGACCTAAGTTAATTTTAACGGTTGGAAAAATTAGAAGGGGCCTAAACTAATTTTGGGGGTTATTGTTTAGTAGAAATTTTAAGGGGTAGTTACCTAGTTTGGCCGAAATCAGCTATCCCGATTGGTGATTGAAGCTAGACCACATATCCCACGTCATTGGATGTGGTGACTCAGTGTGGGGTGTAAAAAGCCCGGTTGAGGTAATCTTCGACATCTGTTCTTTTATTTATTTGTTTTCTTTTATTTTATACTCTCAAGCACATTATCAGTTTGTATGAATGATATCAAGTAGTTGAGATTTATTTTATTGATGTGTTATTTATTTTGTAATAAGGTCATCTGTGAGTGATCTTGTTGCCAAAAATATAAGGGACTATTATTATTACAAAAAAAATTGTATTTCCCCGGCAAAAGATCACATAGGTCTTTCTTTCATTGGTATCAGAGCGATGTTTTACTTGCTTGCCATTAGAAGTCTTTTTTTATTTTTGCTTGAGAATAGAAATATAATGGCTGCTCGTTCCTTTATCTCTGAGATCCTAAAAATCGAAAGGTTTGATGGGACCAACTTTGCTTCATAGAACAGAAAAATCAAATTTGTGCTCTATGAAGAAAACTTGTATGAGGTACTCTTTGAGGATCGACCTCGTCGTCTAACTGACGACTCATATCAAATAATCAAAGATGGATACGCCAATTGGAAGAGGAGGAACTTGAGATGGAAGCACATTCTTTTATGTGCCATGACTGACTCGTATGCTTTTGAGTACGAGTCAATCTATACTGCAAATGAGATTTTTGATAAACTTGAAAGAAAATATGCTGAACCCTCTCTCATGAAGCAAACTATGGCTATGAGAAGGTACAATGATTTAAAAATGGTAGAAGGTACCTAGTTTGCAGATCATGTATACGTGTTTCGTGCGTTTGTTAGAGATTTGGAAGATATAGGCATGAAGCCCAATGAACCCATGCAAGTGATTCATTTAATGAATTCACTTCCTAATTCATGAGAGACTTTCATATCTTCCATCTCTGCTAGAAGAAATGCATCAAAATTGGAGGAATTCATCACAACCATCAAATCTGAAGAAGAAAGGAGGAGTTCAAGGCAAACCCCAAAGGATGCTGTGCATGTGGTCGAATCTCAACCATCTTTTAAATTTAAGAAAGGAAATGGAAGAAATACTTTTGAGAAAAAAAAATATTTCAAAAGAAGAGATTTTGGAAATAAGGGAGAAAACAGAGAATCTCGAACTTGTTTTATTTGCAAGAAGGTGGGTCACATAGCCAATAGTTGTCGGTTCAACAAATTTGGTGGAGCTACGACCCATGTCACAAACACCAAGGAGAGTTGTAAAAAGAATTCTCAGATAGTTAAAGAGAACCATGAACTATGCGCTCACAAATAAGGGGGGAATTGAAATAGCAATAGAGTGATATTCAGATGTAAGCTATCTCGTGGATCCAAATAATGCGAAGTCTACATCTGGGTATGTGTTTATGCTTAGAAGAGGTGCGGTTTCTTGGAAGTCAAAGAAACAAGATATTGTGGCCTTGTCCACCATGGAATCCAAGCATGTGGTATGCTGTTTAGCAGCCAAGGAGGCTGTGCGGATTAAGAAGTTTCTTAATCAACTTAATTTTCATCCTGTATGTTGTGAGACAATGCGAATTTTTTGTGACAACACTGCGGCTATTTGTGTCTCTACGGAGTCTCGGTTTCACAAGAACTCCAAGCATATTAAACCTTATTTTTATCACTTGAGAAATGAGGTGAAATTGAAAGAGATCGAGGTCAGCTACATATTTAGAGATTTGATAATTGCAGACCCTCTAACTAAGGGAGTTGTCCCTAATGCTTTTATAAGACATGTGAGAGAGATGGAGATGAGAGAAAGTGAGAAAGGGAGAATGTAAAGCCTTCAAAGGCCAAGTGGAAAATGTTGGATTTATGTGGCCTTTAAAGGCCTTATGAGTGTGTATTGAAATACTTTTTATTATAGAGATTTGATAATTGCAGACCCTCTAACTAAGGGAGTTGTCCCTAATGCTTTTGTAAGACATGTGAGAGAGATGGAGATGAGAGAAAGTGAGAAAGGGAGAATGTAAAGCCTTCAAAGGCCAAGTGGAA